CTCATCATTAGCCTCAAACTGAGGCTCCCAGAGGAACAACACCTGGTCTGAACACTATACATAGTTCAACACATTGTTACTTAAGTCCAAATACCTCCATAATACTTCATTATGTTATTAAGTATATATCAGAAGTCTGCTACCACAGAAGAACTGTAATAAGGACAAATAATAACTGAAATAATTAATGTTATTGTGGTCCATGTAAGTAAAATATACATATAATTTTAGTTATATCAGATAAGGTTTCATCAGTCGAGCTATATCTGTTCTCTATTTCTGGACAAGGTCTTTAAAAAGTTACCCAACCTGTTTTTTTTATTCACATGTAGGCGTTATGCGACACCTGCTGGCTCAAGTGTAATCATACTACCTGCAATTAGCTAATTTCTGTTTAATCCCTTTAACGGGTTTTACACTGTACCTATGAGTGGATGGATGCCCTGCTCTACTGTTGGAGAGAGAGAGAGAGAGAGAGAGAGAGAGAGAGAGAGACTTAACAAAATAAATCCCAATCCTGACTTACTAATCGCTAACTTAATTCACAGAACGCCTTCAAAACGTCTTACCAGTCGATAGTCAAGATCTCTAAACTCACGAACTTGTTTAGAATCACACAAACAATGATACAGCATCTTGGAAATAACTAAACAATGGGAGTACAGATTTAAAGAAAATAAAAGCTCATCAACTTAAAATTAGATAAACACTAGTTCATTATCTTAGAAATAGAAAAACAAAAAACAATGCTTCATTATCCTACTTGAACAGCTGCACAAAATGTTCATATCTTCTGTTGCTCGTTCATCGGCCCAGGTTAAACTGTAAGGGTGGGATAGGTTCTTGGCGTGGTGTTAACAATAGTACAGGATAATATTTGATGATAATAATATTAATTAGAGACGATACGTACTACAGTCCTCAGTATAATTGTAGATATACATTTTGGAGCATTTTTCTTTCCAAGACACGATCGCTGTAGATTATTGTTAAGTAGGTGCGCTATATCCGGGGTTGTTGACTTAGTGGTGAGTTCTGAATCTTGGCTGCACCAGAAGTTTTGTGTGACGCGAGTTGAGTACATTAGCGAAGTTTGTACTGGGTGGGTGAAGGTATCAGGGTTTGGGATGAGCCAGTAATACTTAACTTTACACACAGACCTCTGCAACTTTTATATTGTTTTACTCTGTTCGTGTGTGAAATTTGTTTTTTCATACAGGAACTGCGCACTATACGTGTACAGTAATTATGATGGTGTATGTCATAAGTATAATACATATATTATATTAATTAAAATCCGACTTTTTTTAACACGATAAATGATGAGTATTTTTCTCAACTATTTAATCTTTAACATTATCACACAATCCAAGGGTTAAGTTTATATTATTCCCAAACAGCTTGAAGTGATCAGCAGTAGGCAGCGGTGCTATACAAGGTCAACACAGGTGGGTCAGTGTGGTCTACCACCTTGTCTTGGCCATGATAATTTTGAGGGAGTGGGGACTTATGATGTAGCCATGATGTTGAAGAATCTAATTAAAGAGAAAAATGGTTGACATATCAAGAACTCAACCAGAGACTAACAAATTTCCGTTATAGTGGTACAGATGCTAGCTCTAAACCATGTGAAGTAAATGCAGCAAGTGATAAATTAGGTGGGCAAGCTGCACAAAACTGGTCTTTAATACGGTTATTGCCTCTCATTATAAATGCCAAAGTTAAGAACGCAGATGATCCAGATGAGAAATTATGATTTTTAGGCAACAATAATGCATGCTGTTTTTAGCCAATAGCTCTGTTCAGTAAAACTGTTACCAGTCTAAGGCTGTAAGTGTATTGTTACATTATGTTCCTTTTACATTACCTTATTGTGGGCTTGGTTTAAGGATAATAGGTTGCTTGTGATTACCTTCAACTTCATAATCTCCTATTCCATGTGCCATATTATTGTGCTGCTTTTTTGGCTTAAGGTGTTGCATGACTTACCATCTGATCAATTGACTGACTGCTTACACGCACTAGTATGTTTTGTGTCAGTGCTGTGAAGGTTTAAATTTTTATTTAGGTTATACATTTCAGGACCTTCAAAATCTCTAACATCAACAAAGTCAGAGAATGTTTCAACATCTATGATTACACAAGCCAAATTGAGTGTGCATCAAGTTTATCGCATGAGTTGCAAGTCAATGTGAATGCAATGTGGGCCGATGATTTTGAATTACCATGGGCACAATTTTCAAAGAGATTTGCTACATTTTTTAGAGAAAGACATGAGGCCTAATCCCCCGGCAAGAAGAAAAATGGTGGGAATATTAGTTGATGAAGTACCAAAAGTCTGTAAAAAACCAGGTAAGAGGGCATTGACAACCATTGCCCATAAAATTGTAAAACAATATTCAAATTCATTCCAAGATGAAATGAATGGAACAATAGTTGGAACAGGTTTTGACTCGCTCTTAAAGCAGCTGCAGCTTAGGTTTGATAATATCAACAGCAAGAGTAATGATCAATCAATGAAAAGAAAAAAGGATGATGTCAGGACTGATGATGAAGATCTGACTGCAGCTAAAACTTCCCAAAAGGATGCCAAGCATGATACATATGGTTGCATTAATTATATGCCTACAGATTATCCTGATGGAGAAACAGAGGAATCAAAACAAAACAAATATCTTTACTGAAGCAAAAACATTTATTTGGAGTCCGTGATAAAGCTGGTGAGTTAATGCAGCCTACCTACTTCACCCAGAGGATTGATATTATAGAGAAAAATGTATCGATTTCCAAATTACAAGTTGAATGGCCCTTCCTGTTTGAACGACATGACATGTTTGTGCATTTTAAGGAACTAACTGGCGTAGACATCCAGGAAAAGCTAAATAATGCTTATGAAACTAAAGGGAAAAAATCTTCAATGGATGGACGAACAGCAAAACAAGCACATGAAAATAATAGTGAAAGAACTTCTCGAAGCCAAATCCACAATGGGCAATAATAGTTGAAGTGGTTGCAATGATTTGTGCTGTTTTGTCACACCTGAATGTAAAAGAGGCATCCATGTATCGTTTGGTAGAGGTGTGTGGTTGAGATTAGTAAATCTTGAACTTATATTGACATTTTAAAGTTTCAATTTTCATTTGTTTCAGTTTGTTTTCCCCTCCATATGTGTCATCATGAATATATCATTTGTGTGTCTCTATATTTAAAAGAATTTCACAGCTTTACCCTTTAAGGGTTTTGTAACTGTTACCATAAATCTGTCTGTTTGCATGTCTGCTTATTTGTGTGCATGCATTTGCATGATCACCTGTATTGGGTTTGTTTTTGTCTTTGTGTCTTTGTTTGTCTTATTTCTATGTTGGTGTCTACTTAAAATTACAGACTTACTATATATATTTCCAGCCTACTGCAAAGATGACTGATTTTGAACACCTGGAACACCATGTTTAATAGGATTTGGTAAGTAAGGTGTATATATATATATATATATATATCAGTGGCAAATCCTCTGAGCATGCTTGGCAAGCGGCGCATGTTCACTGCTCAGAGCTTTTTTTGTTTATTCATCTTAAATAATAAATTTACATTTATACTCTAAAATGCAGCCTAGCTCTTAGTAATAACACTATGTAAGGGAGCGAGGCCGGGTCTAGCTCCTGTCCCAAGCGCATCGGTAGGTGCCGTTTCACCTCGACGCGCAGCTCGGTGACGTCACAGTCATACCACAGTGAAATGGCAAATATGATGCGTCAGGCCGTGGAGCATCAGTGTAGCTCCACCCACGAGTCCGTGTGGGTCGTGCCTGTTGTTTATATTCTTCCGCTCGTATGTGTTGTGGCCGGAACTGAAATTTTCTCGGAAAATAGTTCCCAAAGCCTGAATTTTCCTGAAAATTCCAACTTTGGAAACGATTTTCCTGGGGGCACATTTTCTGGAAAATTCAGAGAAAATTTTCCCGATAGTACCCGGAACATTCTGGGGATGGGAGATATTTTTCCAGGTTTGAGAGATGATATAATGAGCACTTTCTGGAATATCCGAGAAAATTTTTCCTTTACCCTGGAAGTTCCAGGGATGAGGGATTTTTCCCGGCTTTGAGAGAGTCGTCTCATTACCCATAAATCTCTCATTCCCGGAAGCACTCTGTACCAATTGTTCTGGCCAACGGAGATATCACTGTGTGTGTGTTTATATATATATATATATATATATATATATATATATATATATATATATATATATATATATATATATATATATATATATATATATATATATATATATATATATATATATATATATATATATTGATCATAGTTTCTAACTTTGTGGTGTATATTTACAGGGGAATCCAGGTTGTGTGGAAACACATTTATGCTTGCCATTGACGGGATAATTGTCAACGACCACGTCAGCACCTTTGATTCTGGTTTAGCTATGCTGTCTGTTGCATATTACATATTGAACATCAAATATCCTATTGAAACTGCAGCAACAATGGAGTTTATTCAAAGGTAATTCCTGACTACACATCTAGAGTTGTATAGTGAATGAAGTAGGTAGCGTGACTCGAGGGTGAGAAGATAATATTACATATTAACACAGGCTCAGTGCAAGTGTAGTATATAAAACACAAATGCGTGTTACAGCTTTATATGGGGGGATTAATGGGGGTTTGTACACAATATAATAGACTATGATATTTTCCTATAACCTAGCATGTAGGATGGGCACTTCCACTAAGTCGCCCAAGAGGCTGACGAGCCGATCAGTGGTGAAGAGGATAAAAGTCAAAGTAAAATTAAGGACGTCTAATCAATACTGAGAAACTAGTGTATCCATACCTGTTGATATACTATAATAACAGTGTACTAAAGTAGCATACTATTGCAGGTGTTTTGTTGGAATCAACTCGGATAGAGGGAGCAAGATTGAGGTGAAGCTGAAGGGCAAGAGATATACACAAGTGCATCCAAAAGTTCTGTCATTCATAAACAGTATTGCTGATGTAGAATGGCGGAGTTACCAGTGAATCGAAATATTGGAAAACAGTGAGCTTTTTTTTATGAACTAACACCACCATAATTTAAGTACTTGGTTGAGGAGCCTGAATTGTTTACAAACAATAAGTGCTCTTCCATTTTCTTTTTCTCTCTCTTATCAGACTCTTCCAGTCTATTGAAACATTACTAATATAATTTGTAAGAATGTATAATTGAATTCTAAGCTCTAAAATTAGTTTTGTATGCAATGATATTTTCAGCTTTATAGGATTGTACATGTATATGTCATTAATATCATTATAAAACTTTTGGGGCTACTGACTAACAAGGTCAATAAGTAACTTTTTTCATGGTGAACATCAGAATGATAATCAAGTTATGTTATGTTATTTTTATATTTACTATATCAATCTCAGCTATACAGTAGAATGTTATTGTTTTTTTATATATACTACATAAATCTCAGCTATATAATGGAATTATTTTTATATATACCCCTGTACTACATAAATCTTAGCGACAGATTGGAATTATATTTTCAGCTCCATAGTTTCCATAAAAGTGTATGTTTACTTGTTTGGGTTTGGTGCTTCTACATTCCCTCCAATTTATACTCATATAAAACTTGTGTAGAGTGAACTAATAATTTAAATGATCTTTGGGAGGTGCTTTATTATTTTAAGATTAACCTACATAAGAAAATAAGAATGGAGGAAACTGCAGCGGGCCTATTGGCCCATACTGGGCAGTCCCATTTACACCAACCCCTATTGCTCATATAAGCATGCAACCTATGTTTGAAGCTATCCAGCGTATTCGAGTTAATGATGATATTTGGTAACTTGTTCCGCTCATCCACTACTCTATTTCCAAACAAATGTTCACCTATTTTGCGCCTTAATCTAAATTTTTCTAATTTAAAACCATTGTTACGAGTTCGCTCCTGGTTGGATAGTTTGAGTACCTTTGTAATGTCCCCTTTGTCTAGCCCTGACTTCCATTTATACACCTCTATCATGTCGCCCCTCGCTCTACGTCTCTCGAGGGAATGCAAATTAAGATGCTTTAACCTGTCTCTGTACTCAAGAATCCTAATGCCCGGGATTAGTCTTGTCATTCTCCTCTGAATTCTTTCCACGGATTCTATATCCATTCTGTAATACGGTGACCAGAACTGAACTGCGTAATCCAAGTGAGGTCTCACAAGCGCAAGATATAGTCTTAAGATGACCTCCCTAGTCTTGTAACTAGCACTCCTTTGTATGAACCCAAGGACTTTATTAGCCTTGTTACGAGCAAAAACACATTGTTTACTTGGCTTAAGATTCCTACTTATCATTACTGTACTCCTAGTCTCAACCGTCAGGTCTCCGGTTATTGATCGTTTTGGTGGGCAGATAAACATACCTACACACACCTGAGGGTTGAAGGTTATGCTCACTGACTGGGGGTGGTTGCTTATTTATGGAACAACACTGGTGATACTAACCATTGTAAAATCATCAATAAATGTTTTGGAATTGGAATAGTTTCTAGGAGGACTGTAAGCCATTACCAACAAAATCTTGTCCCAGTCGAGTGTCTTGATGTGATTCACGTAAAAAAATCCTAGTGCGATAAAAATGATCAAATGTTTTTGTACTGTGACCTCTAATAGTGACCTGAGAGCATGTTTATAATGAAACGAATTGAAGATGGGCGCACTACCTCGTACAGACCACGAGGAGCAATATAGTGTGTGTGTGTGTGTGTGTGTGTGTAACATCGTGTACGTATGTATGTGTTTGTGTGTGTTTACGTGTGTGTGTGTGTGTGTGTGTGTGTGTGTGTGTGTGTGTGCGTGTGCATGTCTGTAGTGTGTATACTTGTGTGTGTGTGTGTGTGTGCGTGCGCGTGCGTATGTATGTAGTGTATGTAATATCCAAATTTAATAAATGTGTTGGTCAAGAAAAAGCTGAGTAGAACGAGGAGATTGTCAGCCAAGGTTCGATTTTTAAAAGTTAAATGTCAGAGGTGAAGGTGAATTATTTTTTACTGTGGAAGGACGGAGGCAGAGGAGAGGGAGGGGCCATGTACTTGTGATCATTATTGCCCTGTACACCTGGGGCCCCTCACAGGTATGTATGTATGTATGTATGTATGTATGTATGTATGTATGTATGTATGTATGTATGTATGTATGTATACCCAGCAGTAATTGGGAACCTGGATGTTAATTGATTTGCGGATCGTGTTCCGGGGTAATGGTTAACCAGTGCAGTTGGCGAGTTGTTCGATCTTCTCGGACTATTCCTTGACACTGGGTCATGCAACTTGTGAACTTAGGGTGTGATTGTTGTGTTGGCGACAGCTTCTACACCTTAAACAAATTCACGCCTAGATGGCCCAAGGGCCGGCCATCCTTGCTACACGAGGGGCATCCAATATATTATTATATTGTATGTATGTATGTATGTATGTATGTATGTATGTATGTATGTATGTAATGTCAATCTATCTATTTGTCTGTTATTATATCTATCTATCTATCTATCTATCTATTTTTAATCTGATTCAATTAGTGTGTCAATTCCTTATCAAAGTGCTGCGGCAGAGTGAATACAGCGCTCGCCTCCTGTACAAATGAGTGTTGGTTTGATTCCGAGGCACTCCCAATCTACCCAGCTGTAAATGGGTACCTGACTCTCCAAGTTAGGTAAGTGAAGGTGGTTGAGCAGTTCCCCCTTGATCATCGAAGGCTTGGTATACAGTGAGCTGGTTTGACACGATCCCAAACGGGTATTCATCTCTCCGTTAGTCCTGAGGTTTTACTGTTGTGACGTGTCTTTCTGTTAGACCCTGAGCAATACCGTTGTGACGTATCTGTCAGAATATGAGCAATACCGTTGTGGTGTTTCCTTCTGTTAGAATCCGAGCGATACTGCCGTGACTTATCTCTGGACCCTGAGCAATACCGCTGTGACGTATGAATCATCATCAGGCGCAAACAAATGGAACGAAACAAAGGCTGTAGAATTGTTGAATTGTGCTGAGTTACGTTAACAGCGTTGAATTATCGAGAGTTAGGACTGGTGCCGCGTCATCAAATACTATACACTTACAATACCGTCGGGTCGTCAAGATAATGAAACTACAGTACTGTATATATAAACTTTAATGAATAAGAATTTCAGATAAGTGGATGAAAAAAAAGGCAAGTTGGGCTTTTTTTTTATGACTATCAATTGTTAATTTTAGCAAAGAAGTAAAATATTCGACATTGAAATTCGTAATAAGTAATAAGTAAAGAAAATTGTAAACAAAACATCCACGTTAATTTTGTTTCATTAAGTTTAGTTCGGGTAAATTCGGAAAAGTTTGCTCACCATAACTGTTGAGTTGTTAGAAAAATTACTTGGCATTTTATTTCAGTGATATTTATTCGCCTATCAATTAAAAGTTTTTTGCATTTGTGAGATGTACTCCTGCTAGTCCTTTCCTGCTAGTCCCTTCCTGCTAGTCCTTGTATAATTCTCTGCTAGTCCTCTCTGTATGATGTCTCCTGGTCCTTTCTGCTAGTCCTTTCCTGCTAGTCCTTCGTGCTGTATAATGTCTCCTGCTAGTCCTTCCTGCTGATGTCTCTGCTAGTCCTGTCTGCAATATAATGTCTTCTGCTAGTCCCTTCCTGCTAGTCCTTTCCTGCTAGTCCCTTCGTGCTGTATGATGTCTCCTGCTAGTCCCTTCCTATTGTGTAATGTCTCCTGCTAGTCCCTTCCTGCTGTATGATGTCTCCTGCTAGTTCCGTCTGCTAGTCCTTCCTGTTGTGTAATGTCTCCTGCTAGTCCTTCCTGCTGTATGATGTCTCCTGCTAGTTCCGTCCTGCTAGTCCCTTCCTGCTGTATGATGTCTCCTGCTAGTCCCTTCCTGCTGTATGATGTCTCCTGCTAGTCCTTCCTGCTGTATGATGTCTCCTGCTGGTCCCTTCCTGCTAGTCCTTCCTGTATAATGATGCTCCTGCTAGTCCTTCCTGCTAGTCCTTCCTGCTGTATGATGTCTCCTGCTAGTCCTTCCTGCTAGTCCCTTCCTGTTGTATGATGTCTCCTGCTAATCCCTTCCTGCTAGTCCCTTCCTGCTGTATGATGTCTCCTGCTAGTCCTTCCTGCTAGTCCCTTCCTGCTGTATGATGTCTCCTGCTAGTCCCTCCTGTATTATGTCTCCTGTTAGTCCCTTCCTGTGTGTAATGTCTCCTGCTAGTCCTTCCCTTAGCACCAGCCTTGATGTCTCCTGCTGGTCCGTCCTGCTGATAATGTCTCCTGCTAGTCCGTCCTGCTGTATGATGTCTCCTGCTAGTCCGTCCTGTGTATGATGTCTCCTGCTAGTCCTTCCTGCTAGTCCTTCCTGCTGTATAATGTCTCCTGCTAGTCCCGTCCTGCTGTATGATGTCTCTGCTAGTCCTTCCTGCTAGTCCTTCCTGCTGTATGATGTCTCCTGCTAGTCCCTTCCTGCTGTATGATGTCTCCTGCTAGTCCCTTCCTGCTAGTCCCTTCCTGCTGTATGATGTCTCCTGCTAGTCCCTCCTGTGTATGTCTCTGTTAGTCCTTCCTGTTGTGTAATGTCTCCTGCTAGTCCTTCCTGCTGTATGATGTCTCCTGCTAGTCCGTCCCCAGCCCTTGATGTCCCTGCTAGTCCTTCCTGCTAGTCCCCTCCTGCTGTATGATGTCTCCTGCTAGTCCCTTCTTGTGTAGTGTCTCCTACTTGGTCCTTCCTGCTGTATAATGTCTCCTGCTAGTCCTCCTGTATTATGTCTCCTGTTGGTCCCTTCCCTGTTGTGTAATGTCTCTGCTAGTCCCTTCCTGCTGTATGATGTCTCCTGCTAGTCCGTCCTGCTGTATGATGTCTCCTGCTAGTCCCTTCCTGCTAGTCCCTTCCTGCTGTATGATGTCTCTGCTAGTCCCTCCTGTATTATGTCTCCTGTTAGTCCTTCCCTGTGTGTAATGTCTCCTGCTAGTCCCTCC